GTGGTTTAATTATGCTTTCATATGTAGTTTATTACCTTTTATGCATATTATAACAATGTACCATTTTGCCCCTATTTGTTAAAACTATGTTAAAATTGGTAAAAACTGTTTTGTGGGACTATTTTGTCAATAAAATTGCCCTTGTGTTTAAAAACCATTTACAACACAAATTACATGCATAATGTCAAACACAGGTTTTATGGACTATTTTGCCCTTCCTATTATCATTTGATAAAGTGTAATCTTATTATGGACTATTTTGCCCTTGCTATTTTCAATCAATAAAAAGTATGTTGCTATTATGTGTGTTTTCAATAAAACTGCCCTTGTGTTTAAAAATCATTTACAACACAAATTACATGCATAATGTCAAACACATGTTTTATGGACTATTTTGTCCCTGTTATTATCATTTGATAAAGTGCACAGGTTTTATGGACTATTTTGCCCTTCCTATTATCATTTGATAAAGTGTAATCTTATTATGGACTATTTTGCCCTTGCTATTTTCAATCAATAAAAAGTATGTTGCTATTATGTGTGTTTTCAATAAAACTGCCCTTGTGTTTAAAAATCATTTACAACACAAATTACATGCATAATGTCAAACACATGTTTTATGGACTATTTTGTCCCTGTTATTATCATTTGATAAAGTGCACAGGTTTTATGGACTATTTTGCCCTTCCTATTATCAATCAATAAAAAGTATGTTACTTTTATGGACTATTAGCCTTCATAAACACCTTCTATGTGTATCAGTCTTCACAAATACCTTCTTTTCATTCCCACTTCGTAACCATTTTACATGAGTACAGTGCAACCACTTTGAATATACATATCCTGATAATTTCAAAGTACATTTTCCTTACATAATAAACTTAACACTAAATCATGTACTTCACTACAAACAAAACAACAAACATCAACACTAAACATTTCATTTTATCCAATTCCTTTCTAAAACTCTTACATTCCTTATCATCTTCATCTTATACTCACTGAAATCATGTTCCAATATTGCAATCTTCACTTCAGTATTGAAATCATGTTCTTCATCTTTCTTATTCTCGTTCTTGGTTATAATTTCTTCATCATCATCAACCCATTCCCAGAAATCACATTTATCCTTTGGATCCTTCATCTTCAATTATAACATAAACAAACAATTTGTAGCATGAAAAACAAAAAGGGACCCAAACAAGAACAAGCTTTTAGATATATACTTACCAAGAGTTAGGACAAACCCTAAATTTTTTACCAGGATTTGCCTTTGTTGTTGATATCCAGATGCGAGAAGGAAACCCACAATCACAAGGATGTGCCTTATCAATTGTGCTTTTTGACTTGGAAATTTTTGATCTTGACCATGAGTTGGAGGATCGAGACGAAGAAGCCATGTTGAAGAAGTCGATTGAAGAAGTCGATTGATTAAGGAGTCGTATCCCCCGAAGCCATGTTGAAGAAGTCGATTGAAGAAGTCGATTGATTAAGGAGTCGTATCCCCCATTATGCCCTATATCTATCTAACACAAATGCCACGTAGCCAACCATATGCCAACTCAACAACACATATGCCAACTCATCGTTTACCTGCAACATGCCGGTCACCATTAAAAAATGTTATTTTATTCGTAACTTTATTTGGATTTATAATAAAAAACATATTTCGTTGGTTTTTTTTGAACAACAAAAACGTAATTGGGGTAATATGAACGTTTTTGAAACTTAATTGGTCTTTTAAGGCATTT